TGTGCCATGACGTGTGCTCGAATGGGGTGTGCACCCCACCCTGCACCCAACCCCACCGGATGGGTCTCATGGGGCCCCTGGGACATCACACCGAGAGCACAGCTGTTGGGCTGAGGTGCAGGGCTCTGGGGCTGAGCTATGGGGCTGGGGTGCAGGGCTGTGGGGCTGAGCTATGGGGCTGGGGTGCAGGGCTGTGGGGCTGAGCTATGGGGCTGGGGTGCAGGGCTGTGGGGCTGAGCTGTGGGGCTGGGGTGCAGGGCTGTGGGGCTGAGCTGTGGGTCCGGGTGCGCACCCCTAATGTGCCACCGCTTGCTCCCAGATGCCGACAAGCGGATCAAGGTGGCCAACCCAGTGGTGGAGATGGACGGGGACGAGATGACGCGGATCATCTGGGCCTTCATCAAGGACAAGGTAATGGGTCCAGGACAGCTGCTGCTGCGCAGGGCCCCGCTGCCCGCCCCGCCTCTGCTCCCCTCCCCGTGTCCCGTGCCCGGCCTTTGTCTGCAGGGAGCAGGTGCTGGAGTGAGCCCCGTGTCCGCAGGGACCTGGGAGGTCCCGAGCAGGGGCTGGAGCTGGGGCCAGGGCTGGGGCTGACTGCCATGGTGCTGTGCTGTGCCATGGTGCTGTGCTGTGCCATGGTGCTGTGCTGTACCATGGTGCTGTGCTGTGCCATGCTATTGTGCTGTGCCATGGTGCTGTGCTGTGCCATGGTGCTGTGCTGTGCCATGGCGCTGTGCCATGGTGCTGTGCCGTGCCATGCTATTGTGCTGTGCCATGGTGCTGTGCTGTGCCATGGTGCTGTGCTGTGCCATGCTATTGTGCTGTGCCATGGTGCTGTGCTGTGCCATGGTGCTGTGCTGTGCCATGCTATTGTGCTGTGCCATGGTGCTGTGCTGTGCCATGGTGCTGTGCTGTGCCATGGCGCTGTGCCATGGTGCTGTGCTGTGCCATGGCGCTGTGCCATGGTGCTGTGCTGTGCCGTGCCATGGTGCTGTGCTGTGCCATGGTGCTGTGCTGTGCCATGGTGCTGTGCTGTACCATGGCGCTGTGCTGTGCCATGCTATTGTGCTGTGCCATGGTGCTGTACCATGCCATGGTGCTGTGCTGTGCCATGGCGCTGTGCCATGGTGCTGTACCATGCCACGGTGCTGTGCTGTGTCACGGTGCTGCTCCCCGCACACCCAGCACCATGCCCAGGCTCTGACACTCTCTGCCCCCCCCAGCTCATCCTGCCCAACGTGGACGTCCAGCTGAAGTATTTTGACCTGGGGCTGCCGCACCGGGACAAGACGGATGATCAGGTCACCATCGACTCGGCGCTGGCCACCAAGAAGTACAGCGTGGCTGTCAAGTGTGCCACCATCACGCCGGATGAGGCCCGGGTGGAAGGTGGGCAGGGGTGAAGGGGCAGGGTCCCCGTGGTGGCACAGGTCTGTAGTGGGCTGGGGGCCCTGTGCTCAGTGCTGTGCCCTCCGCCCCGGGTGCTGTGTGGGGCTGGGGACAGACCGGCCCCGTGCCCGTGTTGAGCCGTGCTGGCTGTGCCTCTCCTTGGCCGGCAGCAGTCTGGCAGCAGCCCACGGCATGGAGGAGCCGGGGGGGGGGTGTTGGTGCTGGGGCTGTGGCTTGGGGGGGTCCCTCGGGGGGGCCTCACCTCAGTGCACCGCAGAGTTCAAGCTGAAGAAGATGTGGAAGAGCCCCAACGGCACCATCCGGAACATCCTGGGGGGGACGGTGTTCCGGGAGCCCATCGTCTGCAAGAACATCCCGCGCCTGGTGCCCGGCTGGACCAAGCCCATCACCATCGGCCGGCATGCCCACGGTGACCAGGTGAGCGCCGTGGCACGGGGGGGCCGGCAGCTCCTCACGGGCCCTGCCCCACGCTCTGCCCTGCCCTGTGCAGTACAAAGCCACCGACTTCGTGGTGGACAAGTCCGGGACGTTCAAGATGATCTTCACGCCGAAGGACGGCAGCGGGGCGAAGGAGTGGGAGGTGTTCAACTTCCCCGGCGGCGGCGTGGGCATGGGCATGTACAACACGGACGAGGTAACGGGGCAGCGGGGGGGCCCCGGGGGGGACCTGGCCAGGCTCAGGGTCCCACAGGGGTCCATGCGCTCCCCTTGCAGTCCATCTCGGGCTTCGCCCACAGCTGCTTCCAGTACGCCATCCAGAAGAAGTGGCCTCTCTACCTGAGCACCAAGAACACCATCCTCAAGGCCTACGACGGCCGCTTCAAAGACATCTTCCAGGAGATCTTCGACAAGTACGGGCTTGGAGGAGCTTGGGCTGCTCGGGTGGGGTACCGGCACGGGGTGGTCATGGCCAGGCCTGGCTGACCCCCCCCGGATCCCCAGGCACTACAAGACTGAGTTCGACAAGCTGAAGATCTGGTACGAGCACCGGCTCATTGATGACATGGTGGCCCAGGTCCTCAAGTCCTCCGGGGGCTTCGTCTGGGCGTGCAAGAACTACGATGGGGACGTCCAGTCGGACATCCTGGCGCAAGGTGGGGCGCTGTGGGGCAGGTTGGGGTGGGCTGCACGCAGTCACCCTGCCAGGGCTGCTCTGACCCCCATCTCCGTCAGGCTTTGGGTCCCTGGGGCTCATGACCTCGGTGCTGGTGTGTCCGGATGGGAAGACCATCGAGGCCGAGGCGGCCCACGGCACCGTCACCCGCCACTACCGGGAGCACCAGAAGGTGGGTGCGCCGTGCCCGCGGGTGCTGCCCGCGCCACGCCGCCCGCGCCGGGTGCTGAGCGCTCTCTCTGCGCAGGGACGACCCACCAGCACGAACCCCATCGCCAGCATCTTCGCCTGGACGCGCGGCCTGGAGCACAGGGGGAAGCTGGACGGTAACCCTGAGCTGATCAAGTGAGCGCGGTGGGATGGGGCGGGACGGGGCTGGGGGTCCGTGGCGCAGCGGTGCCGGTGAGGTGCCGGCTGTGCCGGAGCCGTACGCGTGATGCCGCCATCGCCAGGTTCGCCCAGACACTGGAGAGGGTCTGCGTGGAGACAGTGGAGAGTGGGACGATGACAAAGGACCTCGCCGGCTGCATCCACGGCCTGGCCAAGTACGTGTGGGGCTGTGCAGGGTGGACACGGGTGCCCATCCCCGGGGACTTGGGTCTGGTGCAGCTCCTGGCCGGGCAGGGGTCACATCGCACACCTTGAGCTGTGCTGCCAGCAGTGGGGACAGGCAGGGACCCGCAGCCATGGGTCCCTCCATGCCCTGTCCGTACCCCGCAGTGTGAAGCTGAACGAGCACTTTGTGAACACCACCGACTTCCTGGACACCATCAAGAACAACCTGGACAAGGCCCTGGGCAAGAAGTAGGGACCGGGGGCACCCGGCCCCGCTGCTGCGGCGCGGATGGAGCCGGCGCCTCCAGCCTGGCCCCGCGGCTCAGGGACAGCTCAACCCTTTTTGTAAGCAGTTTTCTTACGAGTGTCCATAAAGCTTTTCTAGCAGGGATGTGTAGGACCAGGGGGGCCCGCGCTGACTCGTGTACCCCCCCGTGCCAGCAGCCATTAAACACCTCACCCCACGGTGTGGTGGTGCCTGCCGCGGCACGGGCAGGGGTTGCGGCGGCTCCAGAACCCACAGGTATGAGATCTAATGCTAAACAGCTCCTCAAACCGAGATGAAAACCAGCCAGAACACAGCAGGGCCGTGCACCGGGGTCTGAATGCGGAGGGGGACATGTGTCCACTGGGGCCAGCTCTGCCATCAGGCCCCCGGCCTGGTGCTGCAGTCACCCTCTTGCAGGGGGGGACACACGTGGCAGCTTTTTGGTAATGGGGCTGAGGTAGCGCTGGGGGGGGACATGGCCACACTGCGCAAGGGGGTCCAGGCTGGCCACTGCTGCAGCCACCTGCATCCTTCCCAAGGTGGTGGCAAGGCTGCGGGGCCCCTGCCCTGCCGGGAACACCGGGGCTGGGAGGTGGCACACTCCAGAGCCAGGCTGGGCCGTATGGGGACGGGTGGAACATGCTGCATGTGGGGAGTGGTGGGACCTGGACCTGTGCAGCTGCTGGCAGCGGGTGCGGGGGATCAGCTTGGGGTCCCAGACCCGTCCCACCAGGACCCCATGGCAGGGAGTGTGGACAGCCCGGACAGCGCTCCCAGCCCAGCACTGCCCCAGCTCCTCCTTCCCCCCCCAACACTGAGCAGAGGATGGACCCTCATCCCAAGGGCTGCCCCAGCTCCGCCATCCCCTGAGCCCCAGCACAGCCCAGCGGCTCAGAGCCGGCACTGAGAGCAGCTGTGGCCCCTCGGCAGGGCCCTGGTGCTGCTCGGCTGCCCCGGGCAGCGGGACCGGCTCCGGTGCCCAGCCTCCCGCAGAGAGCACACACGGAACACGGGTTTACAAAGCACGTTGGTTGAAGGAAACTGAACGCGCTCCAGAGTTCAGTCCAACCCCGCGGCACGTCTGACAAAAATAAATTACTTTCCAAATCGCCTCATTGCTCCGGGGAGCAGCGTCGCCTCGGCCGGCACAGCAGCACCGCGGCGGCTGCGCCCGCACCGCCTGCACCCAGGGGAATACACTGTGATGAGCGTGCCCCACAGCCTGCAGCGAGACCCACAGCCCCTCCTGCCCCATGGCAGCTGGGGGCTGCAGCCCCACACGGCCGTGGGGCAGCGCCAGGAGGTAGAATCAGTAACACGGCATTGTCCGGGATGCGCCTTGCCCTGTCTGCGGCTCAGCGTGTGCCGGGGCCGGAGCGAGCCCAGGGCAGGGATAGGGATGGGGCTGGTGCTGGCTCGGCCCAGTGCAGAAGGGCTGGTGTGGGGCAGGAGCAGGGCGAAGGGAGGGCAGAGCCAGGGACATTTGCCATTCCCGCTCCAGGCACTGGGGAGGGGGGGCAGGACCCCACCGATGGCACAAGCTCCACCGCGGCTCCTGCAGCAGCAGCCCAGGGCTGAGCCCCCCTGCACCAGCTCATTGTGCCCATGGCAGCAGCCACTGCCTCTGCCACTTCCAGCTGCCACCAGCAAAGGCTTTGGACATCCCAGTTTAATCCCTCACCAATCCCAGCTGGAGCCCCTGTCTCCAGGGGCGGTGGTGCGGGCCTGGCCGGGTGCTTCACCTCCGCTTACCACACAACGTCCACGCAGCCCCCGGCAGCCTGCTCCTGCGCTACAACATGTTGTAGTACGCCATCTCCTTCATGGCCTGCTCCGTCAGGGCGTGCTCGTCCGGAGGGTTGCCCACCCCCCCATAGCCATAAGAGTTCTCCTCCTCGAAGTCGTCCATCTCCTGCTGCCCGTCCAGCTCGGCGTGGTCGGCCCCGGCCAGTTCCATCATGGGATCTAGGATTCAGCACAGGGACACCGATGAGGGACTCGGGTTAGAGCCCAAAGCTCCCCAGGAGCCACAGCTCTGCTCAACCAGGGCACTGGTGGGGGGATCTCGGCTCAGAGGATCCCCAGGCATGCACCCAGCAGGGGTGGGGTGATGGCAGAGCATGCCGGAGCGGAGAGCTGGCATCGGCGTGCTCACTGTGCCACATGCACCCATCCCACCACAGGGACAGGGAGGCATCCTCCCAGTGCAGCCCCTGCCCTTGCACCCCCGCACTGGCTGAGTTGCCCGTGGTGAGGAGGAAGAAAAAGGGCAGGAACGGGGGATCCTGCCGGGTCCCCCCAGGGCACACTCGAGGCAGGCATCAAGCTGCTGGGAAACCAAGGGTCTCCAGCTCTGCCCCCATGACGCAGGGGTGGCTCCGCTGCATGGATACTGCCACAGGAGCTGTCCTGGTGCTCCTGAGGCCGCAGCATCTCCTGTCCTCGCTCAGTGTCCTTGGGCAGGTACCGAGGGGGCAGCCGGGGCAGGAGCAGCAGGATTTACCCTCCCACCCTGCAAAACCCCCGACCAAAACCACCAGGACAGCGTCACGAGAGGGCACTGTCCTGTCGGGAGATGCTGAAACCTCAGCAGCTCCTTGAGGAGCTATTTATTAACATTGTTTAATGAATTATTAATATTAATCTTACTCCCAATCCCATTCGCTACCTTTCTACGGAGGACGGTGGTGGCTGGGGACACAGTGATGTCACCACGCGGTGCTGGCAGCACGAGGGCAGCCTTTGGGTGACGGACATGAGGCTGCCAAACTCTGCTCATCAGAGCTGCCGCAGCGCAACCCAACTCCCCAGCAAGCAGCCGAGAGCCGGGAGCAGCCGCAGCAGGGGGAACCACAGCACCGGCCACAGCCTGCACCCACCTTGGCTGTCCAGGCTGATGTCCATCACGCCGTGCTTGACCTTCATGTGCCGGCTGAGGTTGCCCTTCAGGTTGAACTTGCTGGAGCAGTAGGGGCACTTGAAGGGCTTGCTCCCCGCGTGCAGGTGCATGTGTCCCAGCAGGTTGTACATGCGGTTGAAGGACTTCCCACAGACCTGCGGGCAGCGCTCCCGTCACCGAGAGCTCCCCACGGCACCGGGACCCACCACGACCTGACCCTGCGGCACCCATTGAGAGACGGGGCTGCTCCCTCCTCCCCGCTGCGGTGGGGGGGCTCTGCTGGTGCTGCGGGAGCTCCAGCACCCCTAGTGCTCATCAGAGGGGCAGCGGTTGTCCTCCTCCATCACTGGTGCCCACCGCTCAGCTCGGAGCAGGCCGATGAGCTGTTCGCCCGGGCGAACAGAGGGAGGCATCACAAAGCTGCTTTCCTGCGGCCGAGGACTCAGCCCAGCCTGGCCGGGTTTCTCCGCAGCACACAGCACCAGGTACTGCACTACCCCCCCCGTCCCCGGGTCTGCTGAGCCTCCCGGGCCCCCCGTACCTTGCATTTGAATGGCTTCACTGGTGAGTGCACAATCATGTGGGTCTTGAGCGTCTGCTTCTGCACGAAGGTCTTGAAGCAGATGTGACACTGGTAGGGGCGGACGCTGGTGTGAATCAGCATGTGCCGCTTCATGTTGGCCTGGAGGGTGAACTCGCGCCCGCACACCTCGCACTTGAACTCCTTCACGCCCTGCAAAGGGTGTGAGAGCCACGGGCAGAGCCTGGCCCCGGGCAGGCAGCAGCAGCCACGGGGTCACTGCACAGACCCCACTGGAGCTGGGCACGGCGCAGAGCAGGGACCGCGCTCCCCAAGGGCGGCCTCCTCACACTAAGCTGAGCTCTGGGGACTGCTGTGTCTGCCTGTGGCAGGAGGTGGGACTGGATGAGTGCTCAAGCCAACCCAGTCGGTCATCCTGTGATTCTGTGACTGTCGGTGGGCTGGAGCCCAGGAGCTGGGGGCGGATTTACCCTCATCACCTCATCCGCAGCTTCCCCAGATCATCTCCTGCTGCCCTCTCCTCCCCTTCTGCAGGCGCAGAGGGCACCACTGAGCTCAGGGCCACCCCTGTGCTGCCCCATGGCAAATTCCCTGGGGCAGGACCCTGCCTCCCGCCTCAGCCCCAGACAGGCTCACCCAGCCTGGAAATGTGTTTGCAGCCGGTATTGAGTCAGTGCTGTGGAGCAAGAGCAGGGAAGGAGATGGGGACTGCAGGTGCCAGAGCCCGTCCTTACCCATAGTGAAGCCCATTCACTGCTAAGCAGTGGCCCCAAGAGAATGAACCGGGGTGCCTCTGCCACCCGCAGCACCCGTCTCCCAGGGCTCCGGGTGCATGGACACCTCCCTCCCCCGGTACCCACATCCAGAGGTGGCACATCTCCTCCACGCATATCCCGGGCAGCATCCCCGGGTGCCCCATCCCCTACCTTGTGCGTGAGGGAGTGCTGCTTGAGGTGGTGGATCTGGCTGAACTCCATCCCGCACTCGGTGCAGACGAAGGGCCGGACGTTCTGGTGCTTCAGCATGTGGTTCTGCAGCTGGCTGCGGTAGTGGAAGGACTTGCTGCACTCCAGGCACTGGTAGAGCGTGGGGCCCTGGTGCGTGGAGAGGTGCCGCTTCAGCTGGGTGAGCGTGGAGAAGTCCAGCCCGCACTCCACGCAGACGTGGCAGCGCCCGCTCTCGTGCTTCACCTCGTGCGCCTTCAGCTCGCTGGGGTAGGCGAAGCCGCGGCCGCAGAAGCGGCAGCTGTAGGGCTTGATGTCGCTGTGCAGCAGCATGTGCCGCTTGAGGTGGCTGGTCTGGGTGAAGGCCTTGCTGCACACCCCGCACTTGTGGGGCCGCGTGCCCTGGTGGGTCAGGAGGTGGGTCTGCAGGTGGCTGGGCTGCTTGAACAGCTTGCTGCAGTGCGGGCAGGAGTGCGGCTTGATGCCGTTGTGGCCCAGGATGTGCGTCACCAGGTTGTACTTGGAGGTGTAGGACTTCTCGCACATGCGGCACTGCCAGCGCTTCTGCCGGTCGCCCGCCTCCACCAGGTAGGAGTCGTCGATCTGCACGTTGATGTCCAGCCGGTCCAGCTGCGCCTTCTTGTTGCGCTCGCTGGTGGCTCCGGCCGGCTCCAGCTCGCCCGGCTCCTGCCACCCGCAGCCGGGCTCGCTCTTCACGGGCTCGGGGGACGCGGGGGCCTCGGCCTCGCCGGGGGACGTGGCACCCGCCTCCAGCGTGCACTCGGTCCTCAGGGCCCCCGTGGGGCCGTCCGCTCCGCCAGCCCCACCGAGGCGGCGCTTGGAGCCCTGCAGCTCGAGGTGCCCGTGCCGGCGCAGGTGCCGCAGGCGCCGCGGCTTCCTGCCGAGGGCACCCAGGTCGATCATCTTCACGGCGCTGCTCTGCACCGCTCGCTCCGGGCCGGGGTCCTGCGGCGGGGCCCGACGCCCGCGATGCCGCTCACCCTCCTCCTCCTCCGATGCGGGCACCGGCTCCTCACGCGGGGCCTCGTCCTCTGCCCGCTCGCTCTTGACCTTGGGCACCAGCCTCACCGGGGGCCGCTTCCGCCGCCGCGCTTGCTTCTCCAGGGGGGACCCTGCCTCCAGGGCGTCCTCCTCCTGCCCATCCCCGGCCACCGGGCCCTCGCCCTCCGGCTCCACCGCATCCAGCAACTCCTCGCCCAGCGCCGGGAAGAAGCCAGCGGGGCTGACGGTGGCACCGAGCAGCTCGTTTTCCGACACCAAGCCCAGGACCGCAGCCTGTGCCAGGGACAGCACCACCACCGCGTCCGTCTGCGTCCCGCACTCCGTGAAGCGATCCATGTCTCGCCGCCTGCCTACGCTGTCATGGCTGGGAGGGACAGACATGGGGGTTAGTGGGGGACGCTGCTCCATTCTACCCGTCACCCCTTTCCTCACCACCGACCACAAACCCCAGACCGACACGGGTGTTGCCAGCATGGGTACCTGGCACCATGAACCCCAGCACGGCCCCGGAGGCCTCAGCTGCGCAGGGAGCGGGGAGCCAGGCTGTGGAGGGGCAGCTCGGCCCCATAGCCACTGCTGGCCAGGCTGCTGAACCCTGAGGCTGGGATCGGACTCCTCACGTGCCCCAGAGCTCCCCAGCAGCACCCTGGCCCCAGGCATTCATGCAGTGTGCGGACAGCAAGAAGCCACATGTGCTGTTCTGCCCCACGGTCCTTGCAGGAGCAGGGAGCAGCAGCCAAGGGCACAGGGAGCTCAAGGAACCAAAGCCCAAAGTGGTCAGGAGAGGGCTGCGTGGTCAGTTCAAACCCTGTAACAGCCTCGGCCCTGCAGGCACAGAAGAGCTGCTGGTGTCTCACTGCCTCCCACCAGCACCAGCCCACAGCCAGCCAGCAATCCAAGGAATTCCCACTATAAACTATCCGGGAATCTGGGATAGCAAAGCATGGCAGAGCTGCAGGGCAAAGGGGAGCAGGGCAGGCAGTGATGCAGGCACCGCGGGCACGCTGTTCCACCATCCACAGCTGGTGGCTGCAGGTTCCCTGCTGATTCAGCCTGGGAATCTGGGAGCAGAGACCACCGGACAAAGCAGAGCAGAGTGAGCGGAGGAGCAGGAGGGTGTGAAGGCACAGGCAGGTCTGGCAGTGGGCACCGGGAAGGGCACAAACTCCCTTCGGTTGTGTTCTGTGAGGATTAACCAACACTGCGAGAACGTGCTCGTGCTCGGCTCCCTCGTGCCCGTGGGCCTGACCCCCTGCAGTGGGTCCCGAGGGATGCAGAGCCCCATGGATGGGGTGGAGGCAGGCACTGGGAGGGCCGCCAGCAGATGGAAGCGGGGAGGCTGCTGCTTCCTCCCGCGGCCGGGAATGTTCCCCTAAATGTAATTATTTCTGCAGCTACAACAAAGGGGAGTCCTACGGGGGAGGTAAAGCAGGAATCAACCCTAAACCCGACTGCGCCGCCAGCCCGGAGCACCCGCATGGTGCGAGGCGGGGCCGGGCTGAGGAGGGCAGGACCCCACCGCGTCCCACAGCCAGGCTGGTTACGGGCTGCGGGACGAGGGGCTGCAGGCACCTGCCTGCTTCCGCCGGGCCCCGGTGAGCCTGGGCTGTGCTTTCCCCCGTCCCCCCTCCAGCCCCCGTGCAGAGACAGGGAGAAACCGTGTGCCGAGAGGAGGAGGATGGGGGGGGGAGGAAGAGGATGGGGAGGGAAAGGGGGAGGGGAAGTGCGGAGGCAGTGAAACAAAGCAAGAAGTGGAGGAGGGCGGTGGTGGGAGGAAGAGGAGGAAGTGGCTGAGGAGGTGGCTGCCAGCACCAGGATCCCTCTTCCCAGGAGGCCCCCGGCTGCCTGGGCTCACCAACGCTATCACCCGCAGCAGGGTGAAGGGCCCTTGTCTCCCTCCTCCTCCTCCTGGTGCCCCCCACAGCGCACCACTGCTCGAACATCCCAGCCAGGCTGCAGGGGATGGAGAGGTTCCTGCTTCCCTGCTCCAGCTTCCCATCTTGCACCGTGCCCATTCATCACCTCCGTGCACCCACCCCACCCCACACCCTGAGCTGGGTCCCAAATGGAGGAGGTGATGGGTGCTGAGTGGCCGGAGCCGAGCTGCTTCCAGGGACCATGGTGTGAGCAGTGCTGCTGCCTTGGGATCTGCTGCTGGAGCTGAGGAAGCTGAACTCATGGAGCCTGCTCCAGGGCTCCCAGCACAGGCAGGGCAGCAGGTCCCTCTGCTCTGCCTGGGTGAGCAGAGCCCAGCTGGGAAGCTGGGAGAGCCTCCTCATTTGGCCTTGGGCTTCGTTCTCCTTCTTGGTTTGGGCAGTTTCTGGTTCCACGCACACAATGTCTCAGCCCAGATCTCTTGTCCCAACAACCACTTAGAACAATAAACATGCTGATCCCGGCTGGACCAGAGCGCTCCGATTGATCCTGCCATGGCAGGTGCTACCAAGTGCCATGCAAGGACAACCAAGGGCAGCACAGGATCCAGCCAGCACTGCAGCCAGCTGGCAGCAACCAGGACGGGACCCGACTGCTCTCCTCCATCTACAGCAGTGCCAAGGGAACTCCCCAGCACAGCTCCAGGTCTCTGCCCCGAGCACCATGAGGTGAATGTGGAAGCTGATGGAATCACATACATATGCTCCAAGAACAGCACTGGTATGCTTTAAGAATCATCGAACCAACCACATTAGAAAAGATCTTTAAGACCATCAAGTCCAACCATCACCCCAGCACTGCCAAGGCCACCAATAACTCCCGGCACTAACAGAACCATCTGAAGCAGAAGGAAGCAAGTGCCGGATTCCTGCTTAGGGCTGAGCCAAAGGCCTCGTGTTGCACCATCCGCTGCACAGTTCCTGTGAGTGCGGGGCCCAAGGGCTTGAGGAGCCGCTGCACAGGCACCACAGGGGAAGTGGCACCAGGATGACGCTCCTGTTTCACTTCCCGCTCTCGCTTCCCTGTTCTGCCTCCCCAGGTCCTGTACAGCTGGCTGGAAACGCCGTTTCCCAACACACTGCAATGGAGGCTGGGTCACAGATTTCAGCCTCCCCTAGGAGTCACACCAGCACCGCAGGGCACTGGGGTCTCTGCTGTCCCTGCCGCAGGGATGGGTGGGAATCAGAGAATCAGACTGGTTGGAAGGGAACTCAAAGCCCCTCCAGCTCCAGCCCCTGCCACGGGCAGGGACCCCTTCCACTGGAGCAGCTTGCTCCAAGCCCCTGTGTCCAACCTGGCCTTGAGCACTGCCAGGGATGGGGCAGCCACAGCTTCTCTGGGCACCCTGTGCCAGCGCCTCAGCACCCTCACAGGGAAGAGCTTCTGCCTAAGAGCTCATCTCAGTCTCCCCTCTGGCAGGTTAAAGCCGTTCCCCTTGGCCTCTCATTCAGGATTCTGTCAGCCCATCTTGGCACAACAGTCCCAGCATTGCTGCAGTGCCAGAGCACCACGCCGGGTCTCCAGGATGCTGTAACAAGTGAACTCCATCCTGTGTGGAAAAGCAGCCCCATGAGGGCTGCATTGCCTTGATAACGTCCCAATCAACACATCATCTCCTTCGTGACAACAAAAGGCACCAGTAACGACCAGCATCAGCAGCCCATTTGTCACCAATTCACAGTCCTTCCGGGGGCAAGAATCCAGTGCAAAAATAGCCCTGCTGCTGCCACGGTTTCTCAAAATCCATTCCGCGAGCACCCCCGGTCCCTGCCGACAGCGGTGCAGCTCCGGTGAGGTCCTGATGCCTTCGGCCCCCCCTCACCCCCCTTCCCTGCCCGCTCCCTGGGCAAAGTCTGTCTCTGTCTCGCTATGTGCAACGCTGAGATCCCATTTTGAGGAGGAGCTGCCACAAGAGCAACTCCTTCCCGTCCCTGGCTCCGGCACTGGGTCCTCCCAGCCTGACCCGGCAGGTTTTCACTCATCAAACTCGCCCATCCCTGCCCATGGACCACCGCTGGACCTGGACCTGGACCCGGACCCTCCTCTGGGCTCAAACCAAACCCTCAGCTCAGGCTTAGGGGCTCCTTTGCTGGTGGAGACACTCACTCGCCCGCACCTCTCCTGCGCGTGGAGCCCCACGGGCGCTCCTGGTCCATCCGCTCGGGAAGCGGCGTGCGCCGAGCTCCCGGTGCCCTTATCCGTGCCTCCGATGCTCAGAGGCGGGAACATCGCAGCGGGGCCGCGGCAGCGGCTCCCGTCCCTGCTCCTCGGGGGTTGTGAAATGGGTTCTCTCTCTCTCGCGTTCCTCCTCCCACCCGGGACGTTCCAGTCCTGCTGCAATCTCTCCTCCACTCCCCACTCTGCCCCGGCACACCCTGAGCATCCCGCCCTGCCCCGGCCCGGCCGCCGCCTTGGAGCCATCATCAGCTCCTCACCAGCCCCTCCCAACCTTCACAAGCTCATTTACATGGCTCTCACCTCCTCAGGGGGCTTTACTGCTACTTACCTCTCACCTCACCCAAACCCCTCTCACCTGGAGCCTCTCACACCAGGCAGGTCCCTCCCGCCGCAGCCCTCTTGCCCCTCAGTGCGTTTCCTGCCCGCTTCCGTATTTTCCGGGGCTGCATCAGACCGAGCCACCCATCCCGGGACGCTTTTCCCTGCGCTGGTTTCACTCCCTTGGTTTCACCCATCTGCACCCCCACCTCGCACCCACGCCGCCCCGAGCTGAGCCACAGCAGCCACCGGTGCTGGGAATGGGACTCACGGCAATAATCCTGACTGGAGCAGCCTAAACACAGCACATCTGGGACAGGAAAACCCTGGTGCATGCACAAGGGGTTTGCTGCAAAGACCAAGATCTGACAGGGGAGACCAGAGCAGACCCCCTTGCTCTCGCAGGGCGCCATCCTGGCTGATATCCCCTCTAAGGCTGAGGCTTCAACTCCTGCAGACCCTTGTTTTCCTGCCCAGGGCTTGTTTTCCACCAGGCTCCATTTCCTTCCCTGCTCTCTACACCAGGTGAGCAGTCCCCCAGCCCTCCCTGCAGGAAAGGACACCAAGGGCCCCCGAGGGTTTGTGCTCTACCTTCCTGAGGAGCAGTGACCCCTCAGCCGGGGCTGCAGGAGCCTCCTCGCTGCCGCTGTGCTCCGTGCTCCCTCTGAGGTACGTGCAGGCACGAGCGGGTGCCAGGGCCCCACTGGTACCGGCAGTGGCTTCTCTCAACCTCACCCCACGCCTGTCCTCAGCATCATGGGCTGTAGGAGAAACCAACAGCACCGCGGGAGGACCTCAGGGATTTGTCCCCACAGAAAGAAAACCGGTGCTGTGACCAGAGCAGCACCATCGGGCTGTCCCGCGGGGGCACATAGCACCCCCATACTCCTTGGCTTTGAACTAGTGCAGTGGTGAGTCCTGGGGCTACGGGACCCTCACTGCGGGACCCCTTTGCAGGACCCCCATTGTGGGACCACCCTGCCGCAAGCTGCCCGCAGCTCTCGGTGCAGGGCACAGACAAAGCCTGTGGAGCACCCAGGTCAAACCTGAGCATAAATGGGGCTGAAGACGATCGGCTGCAGTTGAGCCTGTTGGGTGGCCTTGTAGGGGTAGGAGGCATTAAAGCTTTCCAGCCATTTCTATCTGAAAATGGGCGATCAGCATATGTGTAATACTTGGGAGATAGCTCTGATTTTATGTTTCTTCCTTTCTTAAAAGCAGCTTTCATTTAAATTTAATAAAGGAAACATCAGTCTTTCATCTCCATTTTCTTTGCTGTTTGCACATGAAGCTCCTCAAAGCATCCACCAAAATTTTAAACAGAAAAATAGGCTTTTCTTGAAAATCACAACTAAAATGGTCCCTAAAACGGACCCAGGCTGTTTGTCCTGCACCGGCCCATGGCAGAGCCAGCACCACCGCAGTGACCTCCACCACAGGTGAGCCAGGCTGCAGCGAGGAGCCAGAGGTCTGAGAAATGGGAACTGATGCGTGGGGCCGGGGGCTGCTGCCCAACGAGCTCCGTGTTGTGAGAGAAATCCAAACTATTCTTAAATCCACCCAGTCCACGTCTCCACGTTAGAGACCACCTCCATTTCTGAAGGGAAACTCTTGTTAATGGCTCCTCTAGAACAAAGAGGAAACCTACTTGTGAGCTGATCAGAAAGCAGAACTGCTCCCTTCAGCTTTGGCTACGCTGACAAGGGAGGATGTGCCTCATACCACGTGTACCATGTGAATGAGCTGGGGGCTTTGACACAACCTAATTTGCTGCATGAGACAGAACCCCAGCCTGGTTTGGGTTGGAAGGGACCTCAAAGCTCCTGCAGCTCCAACCCCTGCCACGGGCAGGGACCCCTTCCACTGGAGCAGCTTGCTCCAAGCCCCTGTGTCCAACCTGGCCTTGAGCACTGCCAGGGATGGGGCAGCCACAGCTTCTCTGGGCACCCTGCGCCAGCGCCTCAGCATCCTCACAGGGAAGAGCTTCTGCCTAAGAGCTCAGCTCAGTCTTCACTGTTTGTTTCAATGATGCCAGGATTTGCCCTGACCTGACACCTCATTTCCATGGGGAAACCCTTGCTCCACACATGGGAATTGGGCACCACTTTGCTCAGTGTTCTGGTACGGGATGCTCGGCTGTCCTTGCGCACTGAGTACCAGCCCGGTGCTGGCACATGCAGCACCTGGGCTGGCACTGACTCAGGTGTCCACAGCTGAGCTCTGGCACTGCGGTCCCAGCACACACAGCACCTCGGTGCCATCCTCCCTGTGAGCAGGTCGCTGCTCTGCCCCCTCGGCCTCACCACTGCCTTTCACTATCTTTGCCACGCAGCAGCTACATCTGGAAGGGGAACACCAGTACCAAGGCTGAGTGCAGGGAAGGGCTCCCGCTTCACCAGCCCTCCAGAAGATCCCTGTGCTCAACTGGGAGCGGGTGCACGTGTCATCACTTCCAAGGGCTGGGGAGGTTCCATCCCGGGGAGCCCCAGGTGAGCAGTCAGCCTGTGAGGAGCAGCCGGTGCTGCCCACGGCAGAGCTGCCCTCCCGAGCACTCCCAGAGGCAGCACCCACCGACACGGGACATCCCGCTCCCCAGCCCGTGGGAATCGCTCTCCTCCTCCTCCAAGTGCAGCCTCCATCCCTCCCTGCCCCCAGCAGCCTGCATCCCTCCGTCGCTCCCTCATTCTTCCCGTTTCCCTGGCAACGCCCATCTCGTGCTGGAGATCTGTCCCCTCTCTCCCTCTTATCTTCCTCCTTTCTCTTTCATCTATCTCCTAATCTCCCTCTCTATCCCAAACCCCCATCCTTGGCTTCCTTTCTTTCTCTCTCCCTTTTCATCTCCTCCAACATCATCTCTATCTCGGGGTTACAATTATTTGAATCTCACTTTAAAAAGAAACCAATCCACTTCATGAAGTGCCCGCCCTGCTCCCCGCAGCCCACCCGCACGTACAGGACCCCTGCCCATGCCCAGGCACGTCACTGTGCTCCAGCACGGCCTCTCCAACCTTCCTCGGGCTAAAAGTGATGGGGCACAGGGCACTGGCTGAACATTAGAGACCTGATTGCGCTGGTTTGGCCGTGGAAGCATGAGCTGCCCAGGGAGGACAGGCTCTGCCGGGGCCTGGGGGTGGTTGGAAGGAGCAGGGAAGCCTGGATCACTTCCCAGGGCTCCCGTGTCGTGGTGGGCAGCTCAGCAGGCACCCATCTGAGCGGGTTCGTTGCCACACGTGCGCTCCCTGCACCAGGAAACTGCTGTGCAGGGATGGACCGAGCCAAAGCAAACACCGGAGCCATGGGTGGAGAAACCTCCCAGAGAGGATGTCAATGTCCGAAGCAGCACTGGCAGGGAGGATCCTATCAGCCCCCAGGTGCCGCCCCTGGCGAGATCCCGGAGCTTTGCTCAGGGGCACAGCAACGCCTCTCCTTCATCCTTCAAGGCTCTGAGCCTGATCCATCAGCACTTCTGCCCAAGCAGCTCTCCAGAAGCAGGACATTGGAGCTGCTGGGAGAGCTGTCCCGGCGCTAAACTGCGTGTGGGGAGCAGCAGCTCTGGACAGCCTTGTCCTGCTGAGCTGCGCGGTGTGACCACACCAGAGGGAAGGGATGGGACCCACAGGGACCTGGAGAGGTGGGACCGTGTGAACCTCACGAGTTCAACCACACCAAGTGCAACAGCCTGCCCCTGGGTCAGGGCAATCCCCAGCATAGACACAGGCTGGGAAGAGAACGGACAGAGCAGCCTGAGGAGAAGGACTTGAGGGTGCTGGTTGATGAGAAGCTCCCCATGACCTGGTTTCAGTGTGACCACAGGGACAGGGAGACCTTAGGCAGAAGCTCTTCCCTGTGAGGGTGCTGAGGCGCTGGCACAGGGTGCCCAGAGGAGCTGTGGCTGCCCCATCCCTGGCAGTGCTCAAGCCCAGGCTGGACACAGGGGCTTGGAGCAAGCTGCTCCAGTGGAAGGGGTCCCTGCCCGTGGCAGGGGTTGGAGCTGGAGGAGCTTTGAGGCCCCTTCCAACACAAAGCAGTCTGTGATAACCGGTGTCCAAAGGTGAGCAGTGGCTGGGGTCAAGGGGCTGCTCCTGCCTGGACCCCACTCTTACAGCACGAGCACCCACAGACGTCCCCGTGCTTTAAGGGGGTCTTTATCTGCGGTTTGGGACCAGCAGTGTCCGTGGTGTGGTAAGGAGCAGGGACGATTCCCACCCCAGGCAGCCCTGTGCCGTCCCAGCTCACTTCAAAGGCTCCGCACTGAAACCTTGCTCTCCCTTGGAAAACAGTTTTCTGCTTTTAAGTGAAATAAACAGGGGAAGGAAGACTTTCAAGTTCCTCCTCGCTGCAGCGGCTCCGCAGCACAGAGTCCTTTCCTCTCCGAAAATAGAAGAGCTATTCAAAAACGATGCAAGGAGAAAAAAAGGAACTGAATAGAGGAAAAAGGAAAGAAAAAAATGGAGCCCCAAGGGGGTGGGGAAAAACAGAATGAAAAGACAGCAAAAGTAAAGAAAAGGGATGAAAAATAAAGGAGGGGGAAGAGAGAGACAGACAGAGAAGCTTTGAAAAGAAAGAATGCTCCCAGCCTGAATACAGTGTGCATGAAAAAAAGAGCGCTTGAAAAGAAACAGCCAGATGAAATGACCTCTCATTCAGCGCCCGTGCCAATCACCACCACAATGTAAATCCTTTCTTCTTTTCTGCATTCTCTCTCTTTCCAGCGGGGGCAGAGGGAAGAGGAAGAAAGGGGAGTTAGTTCTCAGCATAGGAGAATAAATCTGCTTTGCTAACTCCCTGAAAGACGCGGAGCTACTCCCAAAAGCACCTCTCCCAGGATCACACATGCGGCTCTGGGAAGGACC